AAGGGTGTGATGAATGTCGCGATTGTGTACTTCTCTTCTATTCACCCTATACTCTTGTGTACCAACGGCTACTCCTTCGACATTTGGCAAAACTTCATTTTCGTTGTACCGGCATATCGCTCTTCCTTCGTCTTCAAGAATCATATTATGCAATATGATACATGCATACATTACGTGTTGTAATCTTTTCACCTCATATGACCTTGCCCCGACCGTTAGTACTTGCCAACGTCTCTTAAGTACACCAAATGTTTGCTCCACATCCTTCCTAGCTGACTCTTGCGCCTCTTTAAACTTTTTCCTTTTCTGGTCATTAGGACATGTAAACGATTTCACAAAAACAGACAAGGGAGGATATATACCGTCAGTAAGATAGTATCCACGCTTATATGCTACCCCATTTGCTTGAAAAGGTACATCGTGCGACTTTCCAAGGTAGATATCGTTGAATACCGGTGACTGGTCTAGCACATTGATGCCATTGTTTGCACCAGCTGGACCAAAGAATGCATGCCATATCCAAAGATCATGTGATGCGATAGCCTCTAGAATGATCGTCGGCTCTTTGTGGTCGCCTCTCATGTACTGACCACGCCATGCGTTGGGGCATAATGACCAACTCCAGTGCATGCAATCGATACTACCTAGCATTCCAGGGAATCCATGTTTGCCTTCATGCACCGTGTACAATTGGTGGATATCGTTGATAGTTGGTTTGCACAAATATCGTTGCCCATAAACAAAATAGATCGCTTTGCAGAACTTGTACACACACTCCCGCACGGTACGCTCTGACATCCTAAAATACTCGTCCCATTTGTCTGCGCCCATGCCGTATGCTAGCTGATGAATTGCAACCGTGCATTTTTGAATGGGAGAGAAACCTTTTTTCCGCCTTGCATCCATTTTCCATTGAAAATATGGAAAGCGGCCTTCCAAATCGCCAATAATACGTAAGAATAGTTCCTTCCTCATCCAGAACCGACGTCGAAATTTTACAGCGTAGATGACGTCATCTGCAAAATAATCTTCTATAAGGCGATCGTGTCCGACTTCGTGATTTCTACGCAACGGCGGATTTCTTAGCTTAGGTCGTGCACGTGATGTTTCGCCTAGTCGGTTTTGATAGTATGCAACCGTTTTCGCCATGACGGAACCGATAAATTTAGCCTCTTCTACAGCCGTCGAATCGGATGATGAAGATGATGACATTTTGAATAATATTTTTTGGAGAGAAATATAGGTTATGGGTTAAAAAAAATGATAGAATGTTTTTAGTATTTATAGGTTAAGAAAAGGGAAAGAAAAAATATAAATATATATATATATATATATATATATATATATATATATATATATATATATATATATATATATATATATATATATATATATATATATATATATATAACGGCTATATAGCCGTTTGGAATAAAAAAAGAATAAAAAGCCAGCCAATCATTTCAAGAGAGAGAGTGCGGGACTCTCTCCCCCCACCCTCTTCCCGCACCCACGGTGCGGTGTTTCTTCGTGCGGGAAACGATCCCGCGGGATCCCCGCTCTCCACTCCGTCCGGCCTAATTGATAGCAAGTGGAAGTCATGATGCCTACGACACAAATAGTTAATATTGGAATCATAAAACTGACGATTTAAAATGAATTCAGAACTTCAATAATTTATTGTTTTTCAATTTCCAAAAATAACGAAAATTATTTTTGTTATAATGTTATACTATGTTTTCATGATATATATATATATATATATATATATATATATATATATATATATATATATATATATATATATATATATATTATTTGTAAACAATTTTTTAGTAGATACACAATTCTTTTAACTATAACACAATAAACTTTTCGTTTTCCCCCGATTTAGTCATTAAATGTTTTTTTTTTACACAATATATCATTAAAGTCATATTTACCACTAAATTAAGCCATTTTACTCTATTTGAAATGGTTATCCGATGACAAATCCTACATGTCATTTGTTGTGTAGGGAAGCTGGCCACGTCACCCCCACATATACATCTACCTAAAAAATGATAAAACTCTACCTTCTTTCCACTTGGGGTTTTCCCAAATTCAATTGATACCCCATGTCAGAAATTTATGTACTCTACAAAAACCCTCAATCCCCCTTTAACATCGATAAAATTAACCACTGTTATTTTCGTTATTAGCACCAATGGTGCAAATTCATGAAAATGGAGTGGTGAAAGTGAATGATGATCATAATAATAATGGAGAAACTGAGAGGTTTTGTATTAACGATCACTTGGATTTGTTGGTTGATCGAGGTTTTAAGAGGCTGGACAAACTATTGTTAGGTGCGGCAGCTTGTATGTGTCGGCAATGGTGTTCGATCCTACGACACAATTCGTTGTGGGAGCATCTTTGCTTTCGTCACATGTTGCCATCAAGACATAAACCCTCGATTGCTCGAAAACATAGCCCAAAATTGCTACAAGGAAATAGATCTAAACGTGGAATTTGGTTCCAAGAAATCAAAACGCATACAATAGATATAATATTGGAAGATGTGGGGGTAACGTGGCCAACTTTCCCCTACATGTCACATGCCATGTAGACTTTGTCACCGGTAACTGTTTCAAATCGAGCAAGCTTAATTGACATGTAAGTAACGACTTTAATTGTCTATTGTGCAAAAAAAAAAAAAAAAACTTTAGTGACCAAATCGGACAAAAACGAAAAGTTTATTATGCTACAGTGACATTTTCCCTTTATTTAACTCAAGTTTATATATATATATATATATATATATATATATATATATATTATTCAGTTTATCAATTTAAGTTCTTTTAGCTATCTATTTTTATATAGCAAACAATATGTTTGAATGATTTATTTAATTCTTTCGGCTCAACCAAATATGACAATAAAATAAAATGATTTATTATATCACACCGTTCATTTCATTAGATCATTCATTCTATTCTTTTTCTAACTACATTCCATTAAGTAGAGTTCATGATAACAAGAACACGAAACAAAAGTAAGAAATTTCTTAAACTCTGATCATACGGAAACATAAGTTTTTTGAACAAATTATTATTAGCCAAAATAATCACTCCGATGTCAAATTATTATCTGGAAATAGGAAAATTGTGCTTGTGAACCTATTACTATTAAGGTGAAGTAGAGACATTTGTGACTAGAGAAAGTTCTTTTATAAGAATGCCTTCGAGGTTGCCATGGTTGAGATCAATTCAATCTGATTTGAAGAAATTTTGATTCATTTGATCTAAGGTATTATTGAATAAAAGTTGTTTGTATTCACAACGATTAATTGACGTGTGAAGGAGATGGAAGCGGGTCTTTAATTTAATATTCTGTATTGTACATAATTAAATCTTGAATAATTCTTATTGTGTTTTACATACTCCATCCGTCCTATATTTATTGTTCACTTTTGACTTTTGAAGTTTTTATTCTTCAACTTTGACCATAAATAATATTTTTATTTGTGTTATAAATTACTTGATAAAATTTATAATAATGAAAAGGTATTTAAAACACAATAAATTCATATATTTTTCATCAAGTATTATATATCAAAAACAAAAATATTTAAGGTCAAAGTTGAAGAATAAATATTTTAAAAGTCAAAAGTGGACAATAAATATGACACGAAAGTAGTATTTTAATAAAGAAAAATTACATAAAGTGATAGTAGTGTTGTTGTTGTTGTTGTTGTTGTTGTTGTTGTTGTTGCTGCTGCAGTACCATTAGGGGTGGCGACGATGGCTTAGTAAAGGTGAAGTAATGGTGGTGATTGATGCAACCAGGATAGAATATGTTTGAAATGAAATGAATTGAGGGCTAGAGTCTTCTTGTTTTGATCAAGTGCTAAAAATTCTCTCGATCACAAAAAAGGACTCGGTAGGTCAGAATCAAAGTTAGGGGAGTATTACTCGAGAGTGTATATGAGCTTTATAGAAAATAGATGAGTGAATTGTTACTTGGTGACACCTCCTATGTATGGTTTTTGTGCCACTGTCATGCATGTTTTTTGCATGTGATTGTGGGTAACGCATGATCTTCTTTTCAAATTAGGCAAGATTTATTCGGCGCCTTCGTCTAGTTCCGACTTCCGCTTCGGCTGCCTATTTAACTACTTGGTCCAGATGCATGATGAGTTTTTTCGTGCCGAGTTGATGATCTTTTTGGTATGACACATTACTAAGTCCCCCAATCCGGTAGACGTAGCGAACTCTTTTGATGAAGATGTGGTTGTTGGTTTCACCTTATGCATATTGAAATAATGATTCTCCGTTGACCGACAAAGTGTTCTTTTGTCTTGTCGCTACTTTGGCAACCGTGACAGCAACATGTTTCGTTTATCGTAAAAAGAGGTTATGATTTCCTTTCGACGATTATGTCAAGGATGACTTTTATAATCGTCATTTTTCCCACGCTTCTTTACCCTCAAGTGCTTGTTTTAGGGCTTGTATCCGTTATTAAAGTTGGTTCTTTTATAAACCACAAGGACTATTTATGTAACTAGGACTATTTATGTAACTCTGTCTATATAATATTAAAAAAAATCCCACTGTGAAAATGTTCTGGTTTGGCCCTTGGAGACCTGGAGGGTTTATGGGGTTTGAGACACAGGTGGGTTACTTTTAAGTTTTAACTTTAGTGGAAGAGTATTTGAATGTGTTGCTTTTTGGTCTTCAATACTTCGAGGTTTTGACTTTTATTTTCATAGCACAGGATAAGAAGGAGATATTTGTTATCCTTTTTTTTTTTTTTTTGACGTATTTGATGCTCTTGTTTGTTACGTAATTAATGGCACATTTGATGCTCTTGTTTGTCTTTCTTTATATAACACTTTAATTATGCATACATAAATGCTTATACAAACAAGTTATAATGTTGAATTGGAACCATTTGTGCATAAAATGCATGCGCATAAAGTCACAAGTCATAACAGAGAAAGAAAGAATTAAAAGATACATAGACTAAATAATACACACTGCTGAGTGCTGGGTGCTGATTGATACATTTGAACAATTTTAATACGGGATAAGTGAGTGGCAGATTTTGGTTGAGAAAACCAGTAACAAGATACCACCACTACTACAGAGTATGAATACACACATGGAAACCTAGAGTCTAATGGTGCACATGACAGCAGTTTTGAAATCTAAAGGTTGCTGAAATGGTGGTTTTGTGATTAGGGTTCTCCATATCATCTTTTGAGGATGATATATTTGTAAGAACAGAGATGCTGACCTTTTATTCTGTCTTGACTTCCGATTCTCCGATGAATCGCTAACAGTAACAGATCCCATCACATGCAACTCACCATTCAGGGCAACAAAACCCACCGATGATTCATCTGATAGCTTTTTTGGGATGCTGGTTTCCTTTTTCCAACGATTACAATCCATGTCATACCTGTGAATTGTGATCGTCTTAGTTCTATCACATCAGATGTTGAAAATTTAAAATCAAAATCAGATATCATGATTCTTGAGTTTAATTAGAATAGTTACCTAAAAATGTCAGTTTTGTCAAGCATGAAGACACTTGGAGAACCCCCATTTATGTCTTCGATTACAGCGATTCTCCCTAGCCTCCTCCTCTCACCTTCGTCCCACATATCTCCAACTTCTCTCCACTTCCCAATCTCACCTTTGTTGAACTTCATCACCACGGCATCTCTGTAATACTCATCCACCGGAAAAACACCCAAAACGGTTCTTGATTCACCATATCCACCCATTACCCAGAATTCATTGCCTACCATAAACCCAACACAACCAGCTCGAAACCTTGGCAACCCATCCAGAGCCACCCATTCGTTTCTACCAATATCATACATCTCAACGGAACTCATTCTACTCCCGGCAGCTCCAAACATTGTATGCCTAGACCCACCACCAGCAACGATGATTCGATCGGAATTGGGGATAGCAGCACAGGCAAAACTCCCACGAGGTAGCAGCATAGGAGAAACAGATTCCCAATTCTGTGTCACGAAATCGAAACGGAAGGCGGAGGAAGAAGGCGACGGCCGATCAAGCGGAAACGATCGGGTATCAAAAAGTGACCCGCCGAGTACGTACAGGTGAGATTCGTGAGAAATTGAAGTGAAATTACAGAGACCGTATACGTGAGGGTTACATGGCATAGGAGGGAGATGACACCAAGCGAGATTTCGTGGATCAAATACGTAAGGGGAAGAAATCGTAGGGTCTTCGGGAAAAATACAGATAAGATGAGATAAATTGAAAAAATGGAGGTAGTTACGCCGAAATGAAAGTAGGGTTTTCGATGACAAAAATTGTTTCCATAATTTACAAGTGGATCTAAGGCGTGCGTGGTGAGAAAACGGAATAAATGAAAGGATCAAAGCTGATAGATCATCCGGCAGACCTGGAATCAGGGTTAGTGTTAGGTTTTCAGGTTCGATTGACAACAGAAGAGATGATGATGATGATGATGATGATGATGGAGGAGGAGGAGAAGGAGGCGTCACCATTATAAACGAATCTCTATATCGTCCACGAAAACGATCAAATTCCTGTATCAATTATTAACAATCACACTCAAATCCTTGCGCAAATCATCTCGATAACTGTTTATTTTATAGGGATGAAAGTTGAAATTCATACAGGAAACTTTCAGAGTGTAAAAATGGCACAGCAGGGATATGAACAGAGAACGTAGAGCATTGAAGAGGAGAAATTATAGGTGTCGGCGGCCGTGATCGGTGAACGGAAGCGGTGTCGTGGTCGCCGATGAAGCTTCCGAGGAGCAATAATAATAATATCAGGTCGGATGTGGATTGGGTATAGGAAATAGTTGACACACATTAATGCATTATATGTACTCATTAGATTCCAAACTATTTTCTTCATTTTATGCACGTGTTCTTTGACCTAAATACCTTTTCTAGAAAAAGTGTTTTGTCTACCATATGTGTATATGTTTTTGCTAACTTTAACAATATGATCTCCATTAGACATATATCTAAATGAATATACATTTTGTCTAATTTGAAATAAATGGTAAAAGAAAATTGTTTGTTTGCTAAGCAAGTGATGGCATATTTACATAAGTATCATACTTATTAATTACATTTAATATTAAATTATCAAGTTTGAAACTACAATATGAGGTGCAAATTCAAATATTTGTGTTTATTTGTGGTTCCTCTATTTGAAATGTTATTTTAGACATAAATCGACAAGAATTTTGTAATTCGTATAGTAAATATTATCCATATGTATTTCGAAACAATCTTCAATTTATGATAAAAGATTTGTTTTGATAAGTTGTCATAATAAAAAGGAAGTTATTATTCTTTCATTATAAGAACTAGATTATGACCCGCGTTAAACGCAGAGAACATAAATTAAATACATATCACATTAATAGGTGACATTGTCTTAGGTGAAATTTTAAGAAAAAAATGTTAGTTAGATTCATTTTTAGAGTTTTTGAACCAAACTTATTAAATAAAAATATGTAATATTTATATTAGAGCAATTTGATTTTTTAATACAGTAATTTTTAACATAAATGATCCACGTGATCTTTGTTTTATCACAACATGATGTTACTCATTGATTAAAACATGTTGTGTAGTAGATTTATGAATTGATTTTGTTCGGTATAACAATCCTTATGGAGGCTCATATGGCTCTTTTCATATGGGTTCTATAAAACCAAAAGCAACAATAAGTTATTATATGAACCTCCAATGTTAAATTCTGCAAATAAATTTGATATACATTACAATTAAAGTGCATTGTCATAACCATAAACATCAAATTCAAACATTATAATTTGGTCAATTTCTAAAATATTTTTTCCTTATAATAATTAAAATATGATTTTTCAGGCTACACCCAATCACATATACATATCTTCCGATCAAAGAAATTATTACAAAAAAAACATGTTATAAACAAAAATATAATATTAGTTTCATAATTTGCCAAAGGTTAACACTAATAAATAATAATGAATTTTCACAAATCTTGTATTTTGGTCACTACATCCAACTAACAAATGAAATTCAGTTTAGAGGATTGATTCAAGTAGTGCATCCATGACTTCTTGTAGCTGAACTTGGGGAAAATGCTAAGACCTACTGAGATATAAGGGAACGGTCTGTGAGGCTACGGTTGATTTCTAGAGGGCAATACAAAATTAAAATCGTTAGCACATATCTTTCGTACCTGGTTCAATTATAAAATTTAGATCAAACTTGTCAAAATCAACTTACAAAAAAACTCAGATATGTAACCTAGCAATCAAACAACATATTTTTCATAGAAATAAATATTACAAATCTACAATTTACACTTTATATAATATTCTTAAATTATATCTTACATTTTTCATCTTTAATGGTCACTAACACCTCTTTTTGCCTTATTGTTATGACACGCATCTATATAAAAAACTAGGTGAATACCCGCGCGTTGCGCAGAAACACCTATATAGTTCAAGTATTTATAAATAAATATTTTTTTTAATATAACAATAATGTTGTTGTTAAATTTGATATAATAATTTGTATACTAAATTGATATAATATATTGATTATTTTAAATTATATGATAATATATACATCTATTATAAATGCATAATCTTAATTGTTTGAATGACTTCTACCCGCGTGTTACACATGAATAAAATTAAATATAATATATGATTATTGTTATTTATAGTTGTTGTTATTGTTAATTAATTTTTTAAAATTTATTTACTTAATGTTTTAATTTCTTTCATTATAATTATTTAAAACATCAAACATTGTTTTTTGATTTTAAAGCTAACAATATAATCATTTACATATAGTTATTTTTAACTATTGTTATTGTAAGTTATTTTAAGCTAATTATTTGAAAACTTTTAACGATTATAAAAATATCTTTAAGAAATATTTTAGTTAAATTGAGATTACAATTTAGTTTTTGTATTTATCACTATAATTTATCACTTTTAATTATTTACAAAATATTCTTTGGTTTTTTAAGAGGAACTGAAATTTATGTTTAAGTTGACACTATAATGTTATATTTATATTAACAAAATAAGTATTTTGTCCAAAATGTTTAAAAGTTGTAGCTTTAAACTGATAATGGTTTATATACAACAACATTTTAAATCTAATAAATTAAGTATAATATGTTAAAAGTTAAAGACATAACTTTATAAGTAAAAGTAAAGATATTATTTTAAAATTGAAATTTAGTTTATTTATGATTACACTTTAGGTTTGATATTTATTTAACCTTATTAACCAACTTATAATCATTATTAGAAAGAGACTACAATTTATCACTTTTAACTATTTAAAAAATAATTTTTGGGTTGTTTAAGTTAAATTAAAATCTATATTTAAGTTGACCCTGTAATGTTGTATTTAAATTAATAATTTAAGTATTTTATACAAATTGTTCCAAAATTGTATCTTTAAAATGATAATGGTTTACATCAAACAATATATTAAAACTAATAAATTAAGTATAATATGTTAAAAGTTAAAAAACATAACTTTATAACTAGAAGTAAAGATATTATTTTAATATTGAAATTTAGTTTATATATGATTACACTTTAGGTTTGATATTTATTTAAAGAAATTGAAAAGTCATGTGAGTTTCAAATGAATATGGTGAAAGGAAAAATACATTGAAGTTTCAAATGAATGTGGTGAAATAAAAAATGCTTCCTTTATAAGTATACTAGACGAATTCCCGCGCGTTGCGCGGCACAGGTTAAAAATATATTGTTAAAATATTGAAAAATATATGTTTATAATGGTTATGTTATTGACATTAACTTTGACATATATATATATATATATATATATATATATATATATATATATATATATATATAATCTCAACTATTTTGAATAATAATATTCATTGACATCAACCTACCTTCGTCATTAATAAAATTAAATATAATTATCTATTTAGTATTATTTTTAACAATTGTTATGATTGATTAATTTAAATTTTTACTTATGCAATTATTTTCTATTTTCATTAATTATGTTCATTAAAAATACAGTTTATTTGTAGCTAACGTTATGTAATTTATAAGTTGATGTTATTATCATTTAAAATTAGTGTTCATTAATTTTAAACCACTTATTATTATTAATAAGTTAAAGAAGACTTTTAAGAAACACTTAATATTATTATTCAAAATGAAACATATACTAAATAATAAAGTGATAAGATTGACAATTTGCATTTCAAAAGAGACTTGCATGGATAATAGGACATATCTATGATTTTTATAATTTGATTTTATTATTTATAGCTATTGTTCGTTAATTTTAAAACCACTTATTATTATTAATAAGTGAAAGAAAACTTTTAAAAAGCACTTATTATTATACTTAAAATGTTAAACATATATTAAAATATAAAGTGATAAGATAGATAATTTGTATTTTAAAAGAGACTTACATGGATAATATGGATAATATGACATATCCATGATTTTTAACTAATTATTGCTTTGAAGCAACACAAACATACAAACATATATACAATATTTAATTAAATATTATCTATATCACATTCCATAACATATGATCGATAACATGAATCTAATCTAATTTACATTAAAATTTCAGCCACAACATACAATGATTGTCTTAAAAGAATACTTAAACCAAGAAAAAAAAGAATTAGTATATAACAAACTTACAAATTAAAAACTTTAACATAATAACATGGCTCGAAAATTGGTCCAAAGCCCTCAAACCAACACAAAAACCTTTAGGCTTGTTTTCTTTGTGAATTTTGTATGTGATTGGTATTTGTGTGTCTACTCAAAGAGATTGACATTTTTATAGTAGACTATCCATTAATTGCTTATTAAACATATTATATAAGTTATAAAACCTTTGAATGGTTAATAATTATTAAGAGACTTTTGAGTGGTATTCATTCAAATAAGAGGTTTCAAATGAATATGGTTTGAGTAAAATGCATCATGGGAGTTTCAAATGAATGTGGTGAAAGGAAAAATGCTTCCTTTATAAGTATGTATTTAAATTAATAATTTAAGTATTTTATACAAATTGTTCCAAAATTGTATCTTTAAAATGATAATGGTTTACATCCAACAATATAATAAAACTAATAAATTAAGTATAATATGTTAAAAGTTAAAAAACATAACTTTATAAGTAGAAGTAAAGATATTATTTTAATATTGAAATTTAGTTTATATATGATTACACTTTAGGTTTGATATTTATTTAATGAAATTGAAAAGTCATGGGAGTTTCAAATGAATGTGGTGAAAGGAAAAATACATTGAAGTTTCAAATGAATGTGGTGAAATAAAAAATGATTCCTTTATAAGTATACTAGGTGAATCCTCGCGCGTTGCGCGAGAATAGAATTATATAGTTAAAATAATAACTTTTTACCAAATTATTATTTAATATTTCTACTTTGAAACAAAATGTTTGTAGTAAAGCAAACATATAGTTAACATATTAGTTCTATTAAACATTATAGTTTAATTTTTAAGTCATTGTGATATATACAATTATTTTTAATTTTATAAATCGTTTAAAATTGTGTAAATTATATATCAAATGAATGATAATATAACGGGTAACAAAACGTATGAACAAAAATATGAACTGCAACTTTTAGTAACATAAAATAGAAAAACATCTATTATAACATTTGTATTAAAAAAGATATATATACAACGAATAATAATAAAATATGAAAAATAAACACTATAACTTTTAATAACATAAAAACACTAAAACATCTATTATAACATTTATATTAACTCTTCAT